TTTTTTTTTTTTTTTTTTTTTAAAATTTTATTTTAACGGAAAAACTAAAAAGCTCTTATTGCACACCCCCACACCCGGGGTCTCGTCTCTCAGCATCCTTCTGCAACCCGTAAGCTCTGATTCTAAGATGAAGCTGAGCCACGGCGGCCAAAAATCTTACGGTTTGCGCTGGCGTAAGAATCTCCGCCACTTTCAACGCCGTTTCTCTTCTAAAAAAATCAGCACTCGCCAGCACCGACTGAAACGCCGCTTTCAACGCCTCCATTTCGGTCCCACCAGTAACGCCGTCGTGGCCCTGCCTCCGGAAAAACTCCAGCAACGGCGGCGCCGCCACTTTTTCTTGAATCTTCGCTAAGTCATTGTTTAGCATCCGCTCTTCGACCTTCACGTCTTCCCTCAGCCGCCCAATTCTCAACACTTGATCGTCCCACAAGTCGTTTATGGACTCGTTGACGAGCCGGAAAATCAGGCCCGGCCGGAATCCGCCGATCCACAACAGACTCTGCTCGTAGGTGGTGAACCAAGTGGGGGAAAAAACGAGAAAAATATCCCTTTGGGCAATTCTAGATTTTTTCTCGTAATATTCCTCGTAGTGGCTGAGGGTTCGAGAAATTAAATCATCGAGATCGCCGTTGTCCGCAGCGTCGTCGGGATGGCGGCGCGTGGCTGTCAGAAGCTCGTCGAGATATTGTTGTTGGCGGAGAAGCCAGCCTTCAAAAAATGCTGTGAATGAGTCAACATTGTAATCGTCCCCTGGCATTTACAGAGAAATACAGAGAGACAAAAGGAGGTGTGGCGAACTCAAGGCTGATTCAAGAGAGACAGAAACAGAGAATTTTATGGGATTTTTTTTTTTTTTCTTTTTGTTTTTTTTTTGGGTGTCAAGATTTTGAGATTTATGTCTCTATATGTTACAGTTATGAAAGGAAACTTTGGGAGAACACTTTGCTTAGTGGGTTTTTCTTCGGAAATTCCAAAAAAATGAACTTTTTTATTTCCATTTCTGAAAATGCTCCCTTTTTATTCTTGCTAGCATTGTGATGTAAGCATAACTGAAATTACTTTTTTGCCCTTACTTAATTTAAATCAAATTTCATTTTTTAACCCACTCTTAATCATACTAAAATTACTTTTATGCCCTTAATTAATTTAAAGCAAATTTTAATTTTTCTCCACTTTCCTCTCACCCAATTAATTATTTAAACCAACTTTTAATCAATGATCACGTTTTCATTTATATATATATATATATATATATATATATATATATATATATATTACCTTTAATTTAGTTTTAATTGGCTCTACTATTTATCATGCTTTAAGGTGGGGGAATCATTGAATCAAAACTCATAATTTAATAGCATTTTTCTATAATTTTATCGTTAATTTTTCTTGTGAACAATCTTTTAAGTTAAAAGACCATATTTTAGTAAATTATGAGAATTAATTTAAGAGATTTTATTCGATTATAAAGATAAAATAGATATATATTTTTTTTTTAAATTTCAAATCACGTGAACAAATAATATTTGTAATTTAAAATAAATAGGAGGAGGGAGGGAGGGAGTATTATTTTTATTTAAAAAAGAATGGGAGTTTTGGAAATTCGGTTTCAGAGCAAGCGGTGGACCCTTAGGCTACGTTGAGGGAACCACAGGATGTTGGCGGAGAAGTGGACACGTAAGTATATTGACAATTGGAACACAAAGGAAATGCCACGTGGAAACACCGTTGATAAACACCAACGTTGGCTTTTGTTAAGCTGTTCTGGCCAAACATCAAAAGTGGCTGTCTGTGACAATACAAAACTGACAGTCGGTTAATTTAGTCTTTTAACTTATTCGACCACTTGTATTTGTTTTCCCCTATATTTATCTCAATTGACCCACCTCCACTTCCCTTCTTTCTGACAAATTCCAAAATATAAATATAAATTTTTATTTTTATTTTTATTTCTTTTCTTTCATTGATTTATTTACTTTTGAAGATTTTAAGATAAGAGGTGAAGGAAATTAATTCAGTTCCCTTGTCTGTATATATATATATTTGCAAGTTGGGGCATTAAGAGGAAAACTCATGGAAGGGGGCAGCTCTTGTTGCAAGAGTAATTCTTATTTTATTTTATTTTATTTTTTGTTATATTATTTTATTTCCGTAAATCCAATGAAGGGATATTTTTCAGGAAGCACCTAGTAAGCATCAGGTTGGCGTCCGCTCGGGTTTTGCGTGATCAAACGTTGTTCATCTTCATTCTGTCTCCATGCTTTGCTTCCAGAGTAGCACCAGGATAAAGTGCCTTGGTCTCGAAAGAAATGCAGCGTTAAGAGCTATTCATAGAAGCGGTATACTCTTAAGTTTCATACGGGATGTAACCCCTATGCCACATAATGGCTGTAAGCCCCCGAAAAAACGACGTGTGTAAAAATAAACATTGCAGAGAAATTTCAAGACTGCCCATAGGTAAGACCGATCTTGCTCTCTGATTTTCTTTTGATTTAAATAATGTTGTTCTTTTATGGTCGTGTGAGTTTTGTGTATGTTTCGTCTACGAAACTTTTGCTCTCTGTCATGAGATCTCTTATATGTTTAGAGTGATATGGCATCTATAAAATTTTAGAAAATTAGGTCATTACATAAGATCTCAAAAACAACCATAAAAAACTGAGTCATAATCAATGGTTAAAATTAAATAAGGTTTGATTTTACAATTTTTAAAGTTAAATTTTATTTTATAAAAACTAAAACGTGTTTCTTTCAATACCATATAGGTAATTTTATCTATTTTAAAATCACTCGGAAAATATAGCAGGAAGAGAATAGTAGCATACATTGTCACCATAGATTCTCCTCCCAAATTTGGCACGTAAATGATGGCAACCGATTTATCCATACATTGAATATAGAAGATTGAAATGTCGTCATCAGGTATCTTGCTGACTGCTTAAGGGCTACGCCGGTCAAAACCAACTGGGAAACGACCCATGCTCCCTGGATGATTTTATTTGTTCTTTTTACAACAGTAACTTCCAAGGATTTTAGATTCTACGTTGACCAAAAAAAAAAAAAAAAAAAAAA